CCCCCCCCCACACACACACACACAACACACACACACATTTTCACATTAATGCTTGAAGAAATTGTATATAAAATTTGTAAGCCGTGCTATTATGTTTTGTTGAATGATGCCTTATACTTGTACATTGTAATCTAATTGAAATAGTTTCGATGCTCTGCAAAGACCTTAACATAACGTTTGTGCACCGGACTCAGTACTGTTACGGCATACTCAAAACTTTCACCGGGAATACGCAAAATTAGGTAAGTCGATTTAGGGAGAAACATAGTAAGTGTATGTAGAACGCCATATAAAGTTAACAGAATGCTGTGATTGATATTCGAATATGGATATTGTTATATTTTCCCAAGTAGAAGAGTGATACTTGTCTTTAGTATTTCATCCATGTAAATTCGTGGGCATAGGAAAATAATTCATGTACTGTATGAAGCGACCCAGGTTGAATACCTAAAGAATGGGCAGTTTCTTCTCTGTCCACGGAAACCAACGCTGATATGCCGCCATTATTACAGAACTTGGAGATCTGTGTGTTGTCTTGTTTTCTTATCTCTTCCCTTTTGGTAATATTTCCATAGATTTATGTTTAGCCCGTTGCCAGTCTAGTATAACAGGTTTAGATGTCATGCTCTACCGTATCAAGGTTGTGGCATTTCAGTGGGATGCCACTTTAAAATGACGCCTCCAACGGCAGTGAAAGTCGACGTTGTTATGGGACCTAAGTTGTTGTGAAGACGTTCACCCAACACACATATTTAACAAACTTCAGCATTCGTATTATCCCGTTGGCTTTATTTGTATACTCTACCAAAGGAGAGCTACATTTTAGGTTAGGAGAGTTACATTAGGTTTGTGTCGGAGGTGACATCCACATTTCTCTCTGTGTTACGTTGTTGATGGTTGAATATTGTATAGTTGTATTTTTTATGTATGTGATTTGATGATGTCAGATCCTAACGTTTTCAATGTCGCCGAGTTTTAACAGTAACCTCTCCAGCCAGTCCCTACAATGTAGCTTGTCTAGATCCGACTGTAAAATTCCTGTATCTCTGTCAGTGTTGCCCAGCACATGCAGTTTTGCGACGTCTGTGTAGAAGTTGGTAATTGATTCTGTCACTCCTGCCAGGTCGTCATGCATTCAGAAGAGGGTCCAATCACACCGCCATGTGGGAATTCTGTTGACACCGCATCAATAATCCATTCTCATTTTGCTTTATGCAGATCAGGTGCTTGAATAGATCCCCCATCCTTCTGATTAAAAAAAAGCTTGCATTTGAGAGCAAAGTCCATTTTGTTTTCTATGGGAGGGAAGGGATGGGGAGAAAAACGATTCATGCACCTGTGTCATTCACTAGTAAGAGATAGTTGCTTGAACTTCCGAATCCTTCTTAAATTTCCAACTATTAAATACAATAATGATTAAATTGTTTGTTTCACGTAAAATAATGCAAAGGCAAAGACCAATCTGGCCTTGAACCTCCGCTGTGTTGAGAATGTTAAGGTGTAGACCGCCGAGACTGGAACCTTTGTTGTGTTGACAATGTTAAGGTGTAGACCGCCGAGACTGGAACCTTTGTTGTGTTGACAATGTTAAGGTGTAGACCGCCGAGACTGGAACCTTTGTTGTGTTGACAATGTTAAGGTGTAGACCGCCGAGACTGGAACCTTTGTTGTGTTGACAATGTTAAGGTGTAGACCGCCGAGACTGGAACCTTTGTTGTGTTGACAATGTTAAGGTGTAGACCGCCGAGACTGGAACCTTTGTTGTGTTGACAATGTTAAGGTGTAGACCGCCGAGACTGGAACCTTTGTTGTGTTGACAATGTTAAGGTGTAGACCGCCGAGACTGGAACCTTTGTTGTGTTGACAATGTTAAGGTGTAGACCGCCGAGACTGGAACCTTTGTTGTGTTGACAATGTTAAGGTGTAGACCGCCGAGACTGGAACCTTTGTTGTGTTGACAATGTTAAGGTGTAGACCGCCGAGACTGGAACCTTTGTTGTGTTGACAATGTTAAGGTGTAGACCGCCGAGACTGGAACCTTTGTTGTGTTGACAATGTTAAGGTGTAGACCGCCGAGACTGGAACCTTTGTTGTGTTGACAATGTTAAGGTGTAGACCGCCGAGACTGGAACCTTTGTTGTGTTGACAATGTTAAGGTGTAGACCGCCGAGACTGGAACCTTTGTTGTGTTGACAATGTTAAGGTGTAGACCGCCGAGACTGGAACCTTTGTTGTGTTGACAATGTTAAGGTGTAGACCGCCGAGACT